GCCCATCGTGTGTGGGCGGGGCCGGCCCGGCCCGCAAAAACGGGCCTAACCCCATGTCCATACCCGTCCGTAAGAGCGGGCCGGGAAGTCCACCGGGCCACCGGGCCCGGGAAAACTTTAAATTTTCAAAGTTATATAATTTATTTAATACTTTATAAATAATATTTCAACATTTAAAAATTGCTAATACGCTTATAATGTATATAGGCCTTTCATCACATTCACAAAAAATATTTACACAAAAATAATAATGAGAAACTATATCTAAAATTTAAAATTCAAGCACAAAGTATTATCTTTAAGAACAAAAATAGATATTATATTGGTTGGACTATTTGTTAAGAACTAAAAACTTAAATTTAAACATAATAAACTATAAATATGTATACAAATAAATTAGTACATATAAAAATATACATGCGTACATGTAAATAAATACATAAATTAGTATATATAAAAATGTATATGTATATATACTAAATGTAGCGGGTCGGGCCTATCGGCCCGAACGGGCCTACACTCTAACCCAAGCCCGCCCATATGTTGTTGCGGGCCGGGCCCGGGCCGGACCGGACCGGGCCGGTAGGTAAATATATATGCACAAGCCCGCTAATTTGTGCGGGCGGGCCGGACGGGCCGGCCCGGTTTTGTACAGGTCTAATTACCACACTCCACAATGAGACCCACTCACCCACTACTTACATGCATGCAAATAACTAACTTAATCAGATTGCATTGCATGTGCACACGTGAACACACCTCTCCATGTGCACACCACCGCGGCCTACTAATAGTAGCTCGACTCATGAACAAAATCTAATAATCTAGCACTAATAACAAGATTAGATCCAACATTAATAATGTTGTTATAATGTTACTCCATATTAATATATTATGGTGGCATGGGACTCAATGAACTAATGAATTAATATTATGTTCGTTATTATATATTCAAAGTTTCAGCCACTATTATATTAATTTTTTTAATATAAATTTTGAGTTTATTATTCATGATTTCAAATTGATGACTAGTAAATGTCATCTTATTTAGTACGATCTCCGTTCTAAAAAAAATAGTCATCTTATTTTTTTGGTGAGAAAAACATAGATAAGGCCCCTAGGCAAAAACTTGGATAAGTCCCTGACGGTAAAAAACGCTTAGAAATTCAAACTTAGTAAATCGAACCCACATGCAGTTCGTATCTGCAGGCAGGCCTGACGGGAACCGCCGTCAGGGAGAGAGTGCGAGACCATTTGGGGCCTTATCCTTGAATTTTTTGAGCATGTTCCACATGAATCTAGTTTATTCATAACAAATTTTAGCTAAAAATTCAATGAGAATGACATTCAAATAAATTCTCTACAAGTCTAGCTAGATGCATCGAATGGAGTATTACTCATGGTTTTATGCTTTCAATACTACGTACTCCCTTTGTCCCTAATAACTTTGGCAAGTTTGACCGGCACATGGATTAATAAAGTAAAAAATGTGCGGTTGAGGTTTGTGCGGAGGAGGGAGAATTAACTGGAACCACAAATACTTTACTTAAATGGGAAAGTGGCAAAGTTAATGGGACATTCAAAAAAGGAAAGTTGGGAAAGTTATAAGGGATGGAGGGAGTATGTTTTAATTCAATTTTGAGAGTCTGCTCATTTTACTATTGTTTAATTGTAATATGCTTCGTGAGGTTCTTTCTCTCTCTAGGTTGGTTCGCCGCCGCTTGGTTTTTCTCTCCGATATCGATATTGTCGAGGAGCGGCCGTCTCCCTACATAGTTAGTTTTTTTTGTTCTGCCGAGCTTCGCTCGTGCGGCTTGGAATCTCGTGGAACGAGAGCATCGTGTGAATTTCCTTTCGGGAGTTTCAGAACGTGAGTGGAACGCAAGGGCGGTGAGGTGCGCGCGGCTTGGATTTTTGTGGGCAAAGAAACACAAGGCAATATGATAGAGTTTTATTTTGCATCTCGGGCATGGATTTCAGTGGCAAATCTCAAAGAGCAAATTGGCAAGAGCAAATTGGGGAGCGCAGGAAGGATAGGGTTTCAGATGAATTTTTCGGGGGTTGAAATTCTCTTCTACCATGCTACAATAGCTCGCCCTCCTCCGGTACCACCTCCGTGCGAGGAAGCAATTTGGGGAAAGCTTTTATTTTCGTATTATTTTTCCTTTCGTAGTACTTATTTTTATTTCAATTCAAGTAGGTATGGTTGGAGTATTTTGATTTTTGAAGAACTTTTGATAGCCAGTGCTTCATTTTCGGTTGTTTTAGGCTTCTTCTTGCCCGTTTTGTGTCTAGCGAGTCAAGTTGCTTTGTATGGGTGGCTGACTCTAATTCTATTCCTAGGGCTTACGATCGGATCTGTAATTGCTGCCTGGATTTTGTCTTGCATGTTTGCTCTATATTAATGAAAAACCGTTTTGATGATAAAAAAAAATCTATACAAAGACTGTGTTTTATATCCCCTACTTATATAAAGCACGGTAGGGGGTTAGTTTCGTTCTTTTTACGTTACTACAGTGCCAACGGTTGACGCCTCCGTTTTCTTCCCTTTGTTTATCGCCCATCCACATAAAAACAACCATTGTTGATTCAATAATGGTTCATTTCCAAATTGCCTGCTTCTCATTTTGCTCGATGTATTCAGGGCTAGGGCTCACAAGTCATCCTCAAGCTTGATGTATTTGAGGTCGCAAGGAGGAAGAGAAATCCCTCGATCTTTTTCACATGGATTGTAGAATAACACATGTAGAAAGCCCGATGTAGAATGGTCTTTTTGTACTAGTGTGGATTATATTTAAAATTAAAATAAAAGCAACAACATAATTCAAGCAACCCGGTTTCGCCAGCCATGAGGAAGGGAGAAGAGGTTTGCCCATCCACCTTCAATGGAAGCAACCCGATTTTACCAACCATCGGAAAGGGGAAGAGGTTTGACCAACCACCTCCAAAGGAATCATCTCGTGTACAAGACTTGTTAATATTGTAGGCGGTGTTGTTCCTGGAGCGCCGCCATCTTGCTGTTTTTACTTTTTTGTCTCTTCGCCATTAACCTTCTCGAATGGCCTCATTTCATAAACCTGATTTAAGCTCTCCACTAAGAGCCAGGAAAACAATTGCCGGATCCAAGACACAAAAAAAAGAAGCAACGAGACTCACCAGCAAATTAAAAATCCGATCCAAACATGTTCACAATTGGAACGGACCAAACCCTCGGCCAGAGAAAACTCAGCCAGACAAACCCTAGGCCAGAGCAGAAACTCAGTCGGACAACTTGTGTACAGCAACCAAGATTGACGGGAAGCACAAAATGAAGCAGAAGAAAAAAATGATGAAACATGTCGCCTAAGAATATCGAAACTAAAATCGACGAAATGCCACCATTCCTTTTACTCAATCTATCGATCTAAAGAAGCGGCGCTGTAGAAGATCTCTAGTTGCTTTCCAAATTAAATAGTGGTAATAAAAGTCTAAAAGCAACGTGAATTGCTATTTATTCAGTTTTCTTCTTCTAAATTAATAGAAGTATATTACCGATCCAGATTCTCTGCCTTACTTCTGAGTAAGGCACTCTGCCGTTAATAAAAGTCTAAAAGCAGCGTGAAGTGCTATTTATTCAGTTTTCTTCTTCTAAATTAATAGAAGTAAATTATGGATCCGGATTCTCTGCCTTACTTCTGAGCAAGGCACTCTGCCCGGCCTTCGGGAGTCGTCTGATCAATATTTCAACGGTCGGAGATTTTGAGGTCCGTATCTCGAGGCTCCACTTTTCCCATTCGACGGCCTCCCTGCCGCAAGGCACTCTGCCGTGCGGCAGAGGATCCCATTCCGTAAATTATTGTCATTCTGGTATCAAGCTGGCATACTTTGTTATTACCTAACGACTATGACAATATTAATATCAATATTAATTATTACTCCTTCCATCTCAAATTGTTTTGCAAAGTCAACAATTTTTGGTCAAACATTAATAAAAGTCAATGCTTCGTATCGATAATTAATTTAATTTTTAATAATTAATGTTTATATATTCAGAAATTACATTAAAATCTCTTCAAAGTTGTAAACTCCAAATTAGAATATAATTAAAAATTGACATTCTTATTAAGCGAATAAAATGAAACTGTTTGACCAAGAAAAGTCACATTTGCAAATTAATTCGGGACGGAGGTAGTATTATTATTATATTTTAAAATTCACACTATTTTTATTCTTATTTAGGGGAGTTTTAGAAAGAACAAATAATAATAAAGTTAGGTATCGTTTACACATATAGAGCCCGTTTGGTAGCACGAAAATCAGCTGTTTTGCCTGATTCTGCTGAAATTTATGAAGTTCTGGCTAAAGTGGCAGCATTGGTTGATTCTTCTTATTTAAGAAAAAACTATTTTTAAAATATATTTTATTAATAAAATAAAGAAAAAATATATGTAAAAATAGCTAAAATGGTCACCTACAGTAACTTCACCCAATACAACCAGAAAAGTAACTTCAACCTTACTTTTTCTGCTTATTACACAATTCATCGCGCGAAAGCAAAAATTACGTGTTTGGTGAAAAGGTTGGCTGATAAGCCTGATAAGCCGAAAAACAGTGTTGTGAAACGGCCTCATAGATTATTTATGTCCAATTTGAAATGAAACCTTAAATGTCATTGTGGTGCCACTGCCACATCCAGAGACGGCAGATCCCCATACTGTACCCTAGAGATTATGATACGTACGTGAGCTCGTTCATATAGCAAAATATAGCACTATCATCATGAATGGGTGTTTGACTGATCTAGTGATCTACACTAGAGTTATGATCTACTCTAGTCAATTGCGATATAATTTTTGGTTAATTTTTAGAAGTCTCGGTTTTCCTATTTAGTCCATTCGTTGTTCTATAAATCTAATTTATACGAAGTAACTTCTAATTCCGTTTTTTCCATGAACTACTTAAACATGAAAATAAAATTAACTTGAAGAATATATGTATACATCCATATTATACTAGACGTGGGGAAATCGATTTACGGTCAAGTTTTCATTGGTTTTTGGTTTTTCGATTTGGTTTTGATAAAATCGCACACCCGAAAAAATGTGAACTAATAAAGTGCTATACTAAAACATAAACTATCGGGTTATTGACCTTCTATGAGAGAACCTCAGATCTCAACCTGATAGGTTGTTGATTCACATTTTTCCTGTATGAGACTTTAATAGGTTTACATCATACATATACTATCGTATGATACGACGTGCAATCCCTTATTCCGATATAAATTGAAAGCATCAAACCATACTTAATACTTGATAGTCCATACATTATTCCAGATCCCAACCATGAAATAAACATGGCCATACACACCCTTCTGACCTAGATTAAACCTTATCAAAAGACGAACTCCAACAACAAACGTTACTCGAATGTAATAAAAACTATCCATTTGTAAAGGGTTTTGTACAGTCTTATATAAGCCCGACACAAAATCTGGTTACAAACCGACAATTTTCTGTTTATTAGAATGGTTTTATTAAAATATGGCCTAAAACATTGGCCGATGAAGTCGATGGAAGATCGATCAAGGGTTGAGTTTGTGGTGAGTCTCGATGTCTCTGGTGAGGTCCAAGAGGAAGGAGAGGAAAGAGATGGGATGTTCCACATCTTCTTCATGCAGCATCTCATACTCCAGAGTCCACGTGGCCAAATCAATGTCGTCCTTGGTCTCCACGTGGATTGTGATTGTGAATGCTTTGTAAAGCTCCATCAAGTCCCCTTCTAACACCTCGTACTCAACCAGCTTCTTCTCTTCATCGATTTTCTTAATAACGTCTTTTAGTTTCTTCTCTTTTCCTTCTGCATGTGTATCATATCTCTAATAATTGAGTTATTTCATTGAAACTATACATGCGAGTGTGAAACATCAACCATATTAATGTTTAATTTGTACTTACAAGTTTGAAGAATGTGCATTTTTCACCTTTTGAAATGCAAAGTATATCATCATGGGGAGACGAGGATGGGGTGTATGTGACTGATCTTATCTGATTTGGTTTGGTTTATTTAAGCTTATGATGTTTTCTTTTAGACTGATATTTGTTTGTTTGGTCAGGTCTGGTCTGGTAAATTTCTGGTCTCTGTGTATTTTATAACTACGGAAGTGTGGTCTGGTCTGATCTTGTCTTGTCTGATCTGGTCTGGTATGGTATGGGACTGAAAACGGTCCAGAAGAAGACATCCTTAAATTGATCTAGTTTGGTCAATTTCGTTTAAGTCTTCTTTGATCTGGTATATATCTGATTTATGTGTAATTCACAACTGTCAATGTCTGGTTTTATCTAGTCTGATGTAGTTTGATCTAGTCTATTTAATTAGAAGCGAGAATAATATAGTGATGGTACATACCGTGGGTGTACCTCCAACACATAACGGAGCCAACGTGACCAAATTGACCCTCAAGCAAATCACATCCTTGCAGTTTTTGCGGGCTAGCTGTGGAAACTTTGTGGGGTGTGTATCTGAAATGATCATGGAACAAATCTCCTCCGACCTTGAATTCTATTGCCGCTATCAACTTACCCTTTAACCCCATCACAATTTTAATTTGATACTAAAAATGGAGATCGAGAGCTGCCTTTATATCCACACACCACTCACAAAGCAGTAGCTACTAGCTAGCCACTATTAATTAGGGTTAGAATACGTATGTCGGATACTGTCCCAAATATGGTTGTCGCTATTAATTTGGTTGTTGGGTTATTATTGTGTTCATTACTCCGTATTATAATCACGTGGAATTTCTTCTTTAATCGTTTACATGTATTTTCATGAATTAGGCTTATTAGGGGATAATATATTTATTTCCATCATTTGCAATGGAACAAAAAACTCACTATTTATTGGCTCAAGAATATGATGGAATAAAAAAAATGGCTCATTAAACGATTTGTGCTTATTTCTTACGAAGCAGCACTCAGTCCATGCAATAATTTTGGACTCAATTTTCACTATATATGGTCATCCGGGAACAGTCTTTCTATGTTTTAGTACAGGGGTACGACTGCGTACATCCAACCTCCCCTTACCCCACCGTAGGTGGGAGCCTTTGCGCCATCGGGGTGATGATGATGATGATGATGATGATGGAGGCGATAATTTATTCTAATCAAAATTTTCCTACATGAAATTGTCCTAAATAGGAGTAAATTGACTTTCAGATTCCAAAACAGAGTTGCTATGTTTTCTCTGTAATAAAAGTAGTTACTGTTGTGATTGAAAATATGGTCACTAATGACAATAAATAGTGTCAAGTTAATGTCTAGTAGTGCAATTATTTTGACATTTCTAACTCTGAGATGATAGTAAATACCGTTATATTACTACTATTCTAAAAAATACATAACAGGTTTATTTTAAAATTCAAACCTTTCCTTGAATGTACAGGTTTAATTTTATCGGAATTAAAGTTCCTTAAAACAAGTGACACGTACCAATATGAACTTACCCGATCACCTTTTTCTTTCCAAGGGAGAAATCGTTAATTTGAAGGACATGTATTGTACTCCCTCCTTTGTTTTTTGGTTGTCTTACTTTTTTTCTTGGTTTGTTCCAAAATGGATGACATGTTTCTTTTTTTGGTAAGAAATTTGTGGTTCATATCACTTCACTTCATTCTATTCAAGTATCAATCACAACTTTTACTTTTCAACCACTTCATTAATTATCCTCTCAAATTGAAGTGGGACAATCATCATTGAATGGATGTAATATTACTTGCATATTGAACATCCAAGGTTCTAACTTCCAAGACACGATCACAAATGGAACTAGAAATGTGCACCTGGACCGTCTCAGAACAGTGCCTGTATGCCCCCAAATTATAAAGACAAACGGCTTTTGTATGTGTCCCAAGTAGGGGTGGACTCGGGCCGGGCAGCCCGGCCCGGAACCAGCCCGGCTCGATACCCGGTCTTGGAGCCGGTTCGGGCCAACCGGGACTGCCCAGTTCCCGGTGCGGGCTCGGGCCCCCTAGCTAACACGCGAACCGGCCCGACGGTCCGGGCTCGGTTCATGCCTAATTTTATTTTATTTTTATTTTTTCAATTTTTTTATTCTACCGGGTTGGATTGGGTGTTTTGGGGGGGGGTTTGGGGAGTGGGGGTGTGAGGGGGAGGGGTCGGAGATTGATTACAAAAGCAAAAGAAAATTTTAAAAAAAAAAAACCAAACCCGAACCGGCCCGGTTTGGGCCCGACCCGGCCCATAACTGCCGGCTACCCGGGCCGGTTTCGGTTCCACCTTTCCCAAATAAAAGCCCGGCCGGGCCAGGCCCGAACCGGAACCGGCCCGACCCGAGTCCACCCCTAGTCCCAAGCCTTACATACACATCATTTACGGGCACTCTTTTATTTGTCCACACACAATTATATTCAATTTTAAAGCCCGTTTGATAGCACGAAATCGGTTGATTTGGCTGATTCTGTTGAAATTTATGAAGTTCTGGCTGAAGTGCCTGCATTGGTTGATTCTGCTGATTTAAGGGGGGGGGGGGGGGGGAAATTAAAATATACGAAAGTACTACATATTACATTTTATTGATAAAATAAAGAAAAAATAATATGTAAATTAGCTAAAAATGATTGTCTACAGTAACTTCACCCAATACAGCCATAAAAGTAACTTCAACCTGACTTTTTCTGCTTATGACACAATTCAGCGCGCAAAAGAAAAAATTACGTGTTTGGTGAAAAAGTTGGCTGATAAGCCTGATAAGCCGAAAAGCAGTGTTGTCAAACGGCCTCTTAAGATAAATTATTTGTATCACACATAAATAATTATTTTGTTTATGCCATAATTAAGCAATCCTTTTTAATGTCACATAAAATTCATCTTAAAAGCCAATAAAGACATCGTTTATACATGGATAAATCAAGTACGTAAATGACGTGTATGGTTTTGACATGTGCAATAAGCTACCATGAGTAAGTTTGTCGCATGACCCAATTAAGAGTAGACAAAGTGTATAGGTAATACTAGTATTAGTTTTGTTGCAATTATAAATGCAGAGTACACTAATTTGAATCATTCAAACATAAAAATAATTTCAAACCTTATTTTTTATTGTTACAGGCTTACAGTATTTACCGCGTGAAATCAAAAGTTATATACTTCTTCTGTTCCTTTTTATTTAGCCAAACTTGAACTTTAAAGTCAAAGAAGTTAAACGTTAACGATTATATATTTATACACGGTAATATTGATGATTTGTAAACAATATGAAAATGTTCTTTGTTAGAGATACTGTCATAAATGTATAAATTCACTACATTTTACAAAAATATTATAGGTAAAAAAATGGATCAAAGTTTATCATCTTTGATTGGAAAAGTCAAAAATAGCCAAATAAAAAGGCACATAGGTAGTATGTAATAAAAAACTAAATTTGCTTTATTTGCATCCATAGTGTAACTAGCATTTGATGCGGCTGAATAAACCAATTTTAAAATTTGATAACTGGCACGATAGGGCATGAGTTCTATTGCGGCTGAATAAACCAATTGTTGGGTGTGTTTCAGAAAATAAAGAAAATTAATTAAAATAAATTAATTAAAATGACTAAAGAAAAACAAGAAATGAGATGGAACAGAAATTAGTCAAAGCTCGTGCTACGCACGATGTCCTTAAAACGTATTTGTTGCCTCCCACGGTACTAGGAACGTTGCAACAATAGTTTCCCAGGATACGATGACTACGAACTAGTGTTTGAGCACTCAAACAAGAGTTCCAACGAACGAGAACAAAGGCTGAACACCGAAGGAATTTTCAGATTGCTGACAGTGTGTTTTTAGAGCTCAGAAATACGTGAGGAATGTGTATTTGCGTGTATGAACTGTGTGTTGTTGCAAACCACCTGCCAGCCATTATATAGGAGGATTTGTTGTGTGTAAATGGTGAATTAATGGACCTGAACGTTGGACATCAATGACCAGTCCGTTGGACAACGTGCAAATCAAATAGAAACCAAAAAGGAAAAGAAACGACCACTACGGAAATGCAATTGTACATCCAAAATAGGCTGATAAGGATAGCCTATAGATATGATAGTATGCTACAATATTTGTTACTATTTTTCGAACTTGGCACTATTAATCTTATTTAGAATTAAAAATATAATAATTCTGTTTTAAAATTCAAACACATTTTTACTTCTATTTAGAGTTCGTAATTCCTTTTTTCATAAAGAATATAATTTGGTCAATTGGCCTTACTTGCAAACAATATATCCGTAACAATTTGTGGAACTACTAATTCAATTGAACTAGTGCTCTGACCGTGACGGGTGTCATTTTGAAATAAAATTTTACGGAGCATATATAAGTTGTTAATACAAGTTTATTTAGTATGAAAAAATTGTTCTAAATATGAGTACACTATAGATAAAGTGTAAACATAGGACTCCTATGTTTACTAAATAGGAGTAGCATTGCATAGGAAAAAGATTCAAACAAGCCCGATTTATTGCAAAAACATCACATAAATCCTTTTACTAAATAAAGCATCATAAACATCCATTTATTATCAAAAACTCATCAATTAGGCCAATTGACCTACTCCCAACCGGTAATATCGGGTCACCCGCATTTTTTTTCATTTTCCTTTACTTCACCTTGTTCCAGCCGTTTTTGTTCTTCCCCATCCTGTTCTAAGTAGTACTCCGTATTTTTTTGCTTTTGAATTGCTTTATCTTCATTCAGTCATTGTCACTATCAATTTGTGTTTTAGACTTTTAGATAGATAGTTTTTCATGATCCTATACTGATACATTTCATCTTTCAGATCACAGATTGATAATTCGTGTATCTTTCGGATCCCGGATTCATAAAATTCCAAGAATCTTATTAACATTTGGATTTTATTTTTTCCAAGAATGAACATATTTCTGATTCAGATTAATTTATTGAAATCCTCAGAAACTAATTTCAGATAATATATCGTGGGACTGTGGGAGAAGACAACAAATTTAAATGAAAAAAAGGATAAAAGGGGAAAAAGAAGAAAAAACTAAAAATACAAACCATTGGAAGAAACTTGGAGTGATAGATGAAGAAAATGACGAAGAAAATGAAAATTAAAGATAACAAAAGTGTGCAGCGACTCCAGCAAGAACATAGACCCAGATTGAGATAGAAGGAAAAAAAGGAATAAGGAAACACCGAACAAAAGAGAATCGTAAAACTACTATGCAGCAAGAAAGAGAAGAAAAAAGATAAAAAGAAAAGCTAAAATGACAAAACCTGTTATAGGAGGTTATTTCGTGGTCATTTGATCTATTTGATTGTTCTCTACTAGTAAATGCATCTATGTGATGGTTTTTTTGTACATGAGTTTCGATGACCTTTTCAGAATAGTATAACGGCTTATTTGAACCTTTTTCCTAATGTATACGGGTTTAAGGCCATCTCCAACAGACCACCAAATCACACACCAAAATGGTGTATTTGTCAAAAACTTGCTCCAACAATGACACCATTCTCCACACCATTACACCATTTTGGGGGAGAGGAGATGGCTTTACGCCATATATGGCATACGCCATATCTAACACTATCCACCTTTTTGAATTTCTTTTCCTTTTAAATGTGACCTTCAAGTTTTAATTATTATAGTTTTGACCCATTTTTAA